CAGGTTAAGCTTTGTGTTGCTGTTCTTTTGCATAACCTAAAGTAAATAAGGAAAACCAGCTGTTAAATAGTTTAATTCCACTATTTATCCTCCACACAACTAAAAGGGACCTCTCAATGCAGTGCCAAATCAGACAAACCATTTCTAACTTAATATAGGCTTGAGCTGTAGCTGGGCAGAGTTGCACAACAATCTCATCTGTCATTGAGACATTTCTATAAGCATGGGGAGGAGGTGGATGAAAGGAAATGTAAAATATAGGTAGAGTGGTATAGGTCTTATCACTGGCTGATAATGGTCTATATTAATGCCACTGTTGACTGCTGTTCACTTTACATGGTTCAAATGTTATTCTGTTATAGTTTATTAAATATTTTATTACACTATTTGGTTCAGAATATATTTTCCCTGTGTTCCTCCTCTAAAAATTAGGTGTGTCTTAAGGTCAAGTGCGTCTTATGGAGCAAAAAATACGGTAAGTAATAAAAGTCAGATCCTCAGCAGAGCTGATGATTTATTATGCTAACCCAGATTTCAACTTTCACCAAATAGCTTCAATTGTAGATTCAGTCATAATAAAACTTCCATTAGGTTAAAATCCACCTCTTGCAGCATCTCGCCTCCTTAAACCTCTTTTTTTTCTATTATAAAAGTTTATAAGAAAAGTTGTGAGTTATTCCAACCATCCGAGGACAGGGGACAGTGTCTTTATCAGTTTCCAGTTTCTGTTTCTGTTCAGGCGTGGCGCAGTAATATATTACCGATATGTCTGGGTTTAAAGCTTGTTTGCCGCTTCCAAGATTATACTATCTTCTTTGAAATCAGCCACTTAAGTTTATTTTGTACTTACTGAAGCAATGTTGAGATCAATTAGCCCTGTTCATGCAGTCATTCGTAAATCTTCATGCTTCCCTCCTGCCTGCGGAGCTTCACAGCTAAGACGACATAAGAAAATGGCATCAGCGGAATCCTCTGTCTGGAGAAAGGATGACCTGAGGGGTGGTTGCCTTCCACCCCCCCCAGGAAATCTCAGCTCTCCTACGACTCAGGATGGGCCCCTCCTGGCCCTCCCTTCCCCCCAATTTCTTGGGGGGAGCCTGGATTCACAACATGCAGCAGAACTCTGGAGAGACCAGATTCTTGCTACTTTGCTGTTTGTAGCTCCACCCCCTCTCTTGGTTATCCCGGTTTTGACCAGATTGACCTCCTTAAATCTACAATTAACTGGCCCAGTAATTTCATCCTTCTCCCAGTCTTTGCCTGCCCTATTTCTAATTTAACGACAGACGCTAGTGATATCAAAACGGCATTCCCTCTGTTTTGAAATGTTCTCCCTGAAATCTCAGGAAACAGGATACTGCTGGGCAAGTAACTATCTTTGGTAAGTGTTTGAGTGGGAAGGCTAGTAAAGGGCTGGGGTTGCAATTACACTGATCAAATTATCAAGCAAAACCAAAATAAAAATAAAAAATAAAGAAGACAAAAACATTTTGGCATCTTAAAGACTAACTGCTATACAGTATTTTAATGTGAGTTTATGGGGTCAAGACCACTTCCTCAGACATAAGAATGGGAGTACAGTAGATATAGCAGTTGGTTTTTAAGATGCCATAATGTGTGCCCCACCAAAAATGTTGAGCGTCCCCCAGCCAAATGGGCACATACTTTGAGTAAGAAATTATCAATATATGACAGGAGTGGCTGGATGCAAACAAGCCAGAGAGTGTGTCCCATATTGTATGTAGCATCTGCAGTACAACCCAGGGGGCTGTGTGAGCTGGGCCTGAAATTTTCTCAGATCACAGCCACCAGATGAAGAGTTTAGAGGTAGTTTTGTGGTTCTTCTTCTTTAACAGTTTTTGTAGTATGAGGAGAGGTGTAATAAATGACCTCTGGGGTCTCATGTCTGTTATTTTGTAAGTACTTACACAGCCTCAGCATCAAATACTCAAAAGTATTATTCTATTTGCTATATTTTAAAACAATTAATGTTTTTCTATATTTCCTTTTGATATTCTTCTTTGGTATTGCCAGTTCTGTGGAATTCCCAGTGTGATGTAGTGGTCAGAGCGATAGACTAGGACTTTGGAGAACAAACTTTGAAACTCCACTTAGCCATGGAAACTCACTGGGAGTGTAGAACTGGTAAAACCAGTCCTTAATTCTCTCACCTTGAAAACCCGATCAGAATCACTATAAGTTGGTTTCAACTTCATGGCACAGAACACACTCACTTTCTATGTATTAAGAATGGTCTACATCAGCTACAGCTTGTTTAGACCAAGGGTACACAAATGTGAACTCTCTAGATGTCATCTGACTGCAACACCGATGGTTCCTCACAAATGACCAAGCTAGCTAGGATTTGTGGGAGTTAGAGTCTGGCAACATCTGTAGGGCCACAATATCACATACTTCTTTCAGAACTAGTTTAGGATATTGATATTTCAGCAATAGGTCCAGATGCCCTATGTTTCCCATTAAGGCCTTACCAACAGCATTCCATTGAACTTCTAAGACCAATTTTGTGTAGAGCCTGGAAACTTTACTGCTATGGGCTGCACTGGAAAGCCAGATTGCCTGGAGATTCTGGCACTCATAGTCCAAACACATTTTCCATCTCTAGTTTTATGTGGTTAAGGTATATAGACTAGAAAGTATAGTAGAGATTTAACTTTAAATGTTAAATATACTGAATGCTAAGAATGTTTTTGGAATAGAAAACAGTTGTAGCAGCATTGATTTGAGTTATGTGGAAGCATATGTGTATGTCAATATTGGAAAATTATGCAATACCTTAACTCAACTGGACCACTTAAATTTAGTGAAAAAAGGGAGGTTGTGAATCCTTCAGAATTCTTCAACTGATAGGCATTACAAAATTTGGAATGGGTGGGAGGATAAAAAAATGTATATGTAAGTTTAAAAAATCTGCATTTTGACCCCTGTCAAATACATTTACTCTTATTGTGTTTTTTAAAATGTCCTATTGCATACTATTGATTTTAGCTAGTTCAATACCACTGTAGATATAATAGATAGCTTATCCCTGCCAAGAGGTGTGTTGGGGGGAGGAGAATCACCTACCTCCGTGGACGCCGTTCTGTCCCTTCAGCGCTGTCTGGAGGCTGTGCTGCAATGTATGCAGCTGAATGGGTTGAGGGTGAACCCAGACAAGACAGAGGTCTTGAGGGTGGGTGGCCCCTCCATTGGTGGTTTGGGAAACTCCCTCTCATTTGGGGGGGTGACTCTCACCACAAAGAGTGTGGTGTGCAGCTTGGGGATACATCTGGACCCGGTGCTTACCATGGAAATCCAGGTGGCGTCCGTGGCCCACTGCGTCTATTTCCATTTATGGCTGATTGCCCAGCTGCGACCCTGTCTTGATGGTGGGGCTCTCACCACTTTCATCCATGCGCTTGTAATATCGAGATTAGACCACTGTAATGCGCTCTATGTGGGGCTACCTTTGAGATTGATGCGGAAGCTTCAAATGGTGCAGAATGTGGCAGCCAGACTCCTTAGTGGGGTCAGAAAGTACCAGCATATCTCTCCCACTCTGGCTGCCTTGTGTTTTTTAATTCATTGGAGACAATGAGAGCCTCGTGGCACAGTGGTTAAACTGCTGTATTGCAGCCAAAAATGTGCTCACGACCTGGGGTTCAATCCCAGGTAGCCGGTTCAAGGTTGACTCAGCCTTCTATTCTTCTGAGGTCAGTAAAATGAGTACCCAGCTTGCGGGGGGGGGCAATGTGTAGCCTGCATAATTAACTTGTAAACCGACCAGAGAATGCTTGAAGCGTTATGGGGCGGTATATAAGCAGCACGCTTTGCTTTGCTTCATATGACCTTTAATATTGTTTCTTTAATATTTTAATATTAATAAAACTATTCATGACACAGAACTTTGTCAGTCATGTCTAAAGTCAAATCCATCAACTTTGTCAACTGATGCTCCTAAAGTCTGCCTGCTTTGAGAGAGTACAGGGAAGCGGTACCCCATTTGTACATCTAATAGAACATAGTGGAGGAGGAAGCTGAAGAAATGGACTGTGTTTGGTGTCTCTGTGTCAAAACTTGACTGTTCAAGTTTTTATCAAGCGCTAGGTTTGATAAGGTTCTTTTACGCTTAACATTACACAAACACCTCTGTATGGCCCCAGTTGTTCAGAATGCTGTTTATTTAAGTGAATATACCCAATATAAACTGTCTAACATAACAGCTATAATTGCATCTGGATTTTACAAATACATCCACATTTGGCTGAGAAAGAAGACTTCACTTTTTCCTAAATAGTACCAATGCTATCCAGCTATGGCACTCTCTCTTTTGCTGTGCTGAATTTCTACATGACTTTGTAATACTATCTTTGGAGACAAAGTGAAGCTTTGGGAATGCTAATACACATCTAGGAACTTTCCACCATTCCTAGACAATAGCTAAACAATTAATCCAAACATTTAAAATCACTTGTGCCTGGAAAAACAGGTTTTAATATACATGTGAACTCTGAATACACATCCAAAAATAAAAGCAGGGACAAAATATCTTTATCATAATTAGAATCTACAGTTAATGAGTGTTAATGATGTCAGCTATTATTAGTCCTCCTTTTGGTCTCTCCTCTCCATGTTCAGTAGCTGGAATCTAAAACTCAAGGCCTCCTGTTTAAATATAGCCCTCTGTTCCCTAAAAGAAACCAAGAGGGAGAACAAGACAGAGTCCTGCATCACCTTCAAGACACAGGCAAATGGAAAACAAGGCCTGCGTCATGCATTTGCTGCTGCTTCACATCCTGCTGATTTCATGGCTGCAAACAGCAGAGCAATGTAGTGATGTGCATGGAAAAAAGAGGATTTCACATCTACCTCAGGAGTTGCTAATGAAATATCTAACAGATGAAGGAACTCTAGCAGAGCCTGATCTTTTTGTGACAGACCTCATGGCAAAAACAGCACGCAAGGATCAAGATGAACCAGAAGAGTCCAGGTATATTTTCCCACATGTAGTTAGCCATACAGCTCAAGGTTTGGGAAGACAGGCTCCTGCAAATCCATCCCCATACCCGGAGGGCCCTCGATTTCTTTTTCCGCATCCTCACAGCAAGAGAGAGACGGACCTGTTCTTGCGAAAAGATGCCAAGAAGTTCTGGAATCTATTCATGCTGAAAACCAAGTCAAGGTCTGAAGAGACTGTCCTTCCAATCAAGACCAATGAAATGTACCAGGACATTTGCAACACTCTTCCTTTTTCACAGGTAAAGTTAAATATCAAATTCAGCATCTCCTTGCATAGGTAAATTACAGTGGGGAGCAGTGCCTCATTCCTGAAATCTGGAGTGAAGCACTCCCCCCTCAGACCACAAGTCATCCCTGCTTCCTAGAGGCTTACTATGCAATTAGGCTATCCAGTACTGCTAGTTGCAAAAAGGCTCACTATCATATCCATCTTCCAAGTAGATTGCTATTTTCCCATTTCTGGGAGGGGGGGGAACTAAAGTGAGCTACATTTATTCACCAATCTTATGAGGTTTATGCAAAAACTGTAAATGTTACATACGTATATAAAAATCACAAAGCATGTAATTCAGAGCTGTGAAAAGTTCAATTATAGTAGCCTGTATCTTTGTTTTGAAGATATCACAAAATACATATGCTTGAAGTACATGATTCCCATTTTACATTAATGAAAGTTTAATATATCTAAGGTGATGGGGTTTTAGGAATTTGTATGGTATTGAAACAACTGGTTGACCTAGTAAATATATGGTTGCTCTGACATCAGCATGTATTTTTTCATACAGTTAAAATTCTAAGGTATGTACAGTATTTTATTCAGTCATGACTACAGCAAATATAAGACACCCACCCCTTTGCCACTCTGTACATAGAATAATAGTTTTGAACGGAACTGTCATGGCATATTGGATAAGGAACGGAAATACAAGCTAAGAACTCCTGATCCAAATCTCTGTTCAGCTATGAACTTACCAGCAGCAAGTCTTTTTCATCTAATTGTTGTAAAAATTGTTACTGTTGTTCCAATGAGTACTAACAACCACAGCTTTGTTCTAAGAAACATTAAGATGCTTTAAAATGATAAATTTTCTTTCTTCATATGTGCTTTTAAATTGTTCTATTTCAGTGGTGAAATAAAAAAAGATACTATCATATTAAAATGCAATTGAACATATATTTAAACAATATGCTCAATTGAATTTTAATATCGTAACTTTTTTTTAGCTATGCCTGTTTTTTTAATGATTTATAAGCTCCCTCAAATTCATATATTGGAAGAAAGGAAAATATAAACAGAATTAGTATATAATAGTAAACACATTTAGTGGCTTCATATTATTGTGTATTTTTACAATAAGCCATAATGAGAGTAGGCCCACTGAATCAATGGGACATAATTCTTGACTAAGCAAATCTCATTTCTCAAATAGGTCTACTCAATTTAGGACTGTCTGTTGGATTATCTCAAGCTCTGTTATGTTTTCTAATGAAGCACTACAACAAGTCCTAAAACAACTTTATACATATTTTCTTTTAGAGCATTGAGCATGAGAACTGTGAGAAAGTGGTGGTGCAAAACAATCTATGTTTTGGGAAATGCAGTTCTTTCCATGTTCCTGGACTGGAAGATCGCCTTTACACCTTCTGTTCCCACTGCTTGCCTACCAAGTTTTTCATGAAACATTTAGAGATGAATTGCACCCGGACTGCTCCTGTAATCAAGGTGGTTATGATTGTAGAAGAATGTAAATGTGAAGTTCAGAAAGTAAAAGCTTCTGAAATAGGATTTCTATATTCAGATCTGTATGCAAATATGTATGAACATAGCTGAGCTATGCAAAACTGCCTTTATCTTTAGTAAAAGTGCCCTAAAAACATGTTGATTTTTTCTTTTTCAAGCACATGATTCTCTCTCTCTCTCTCTCTCTCTCTCTCTCTCTGTGTGTGTTTGTCTAAAACATTAAAATGTGTTTAAAACATGTACCACTTTCAGGTACATGGAGAAAGGTAGGATTGATTGTCGTCCTCTGTTGTAGTGCATGTATGGTGGCAAACTCTTTCTAAAGCAAAGGTATTTTGACATTAAGTGTATAAACTTCATAATGCAGGAAAGATCAGCCTGAACAAAAATTTATATCTAGCACTAATAAGTATTATTTTCTTAGAACTCAAATGAAAACAGAATAGATAATAGTGATTAAAGCTTTACCAACAAGCTAGTGGAGTATATTAAAAATTTCAGTTTAATGTGTTTAACCCATACTTTCTATGAAAATATAGAAAGCAAATTGAGCAAATTGGCCGTAGATGAAATGAATGTTGATCAGATCTTTGAATCTCAGTCTTTGGCCTTCCAGATGTTTGAACTTTAACACCCAAATGCCCCAACTAACCTGGCCAGTATTCTATAAGCTGAAGTTTGCAGCGTCCATAGAATGAGAAGCATTGCACCAAAAATATTTTCTATTTGTTTGCTGGGCTCTCTTTCCATCTGTGTGTCTTCAGATGGCTTATGTTTGGCCCTGGGAGCTGGAAATAAAGTGCCAGTCCACAAAGCCAAAGGTAACCTGACTTGCTGACTGTACAATTTTATCTCCAGCAAGTCAGATGGATCATGCACTGATGATAAATCTCATGTCTCTCTGCCTCAGGGCCAAGCAACACATAACATTGATCCCTTGATTTAAAACTGCATATCATGAGCAGAGAGACCTCTAACTAGCACTGGGTGTGTCTGTATTTGAACCCTTTACCCCTTCCTCCTTTAGAAGTGAATTCTCACTGATCAAATGGGAACTTCCCTTCCATGCCAAACTGTGGCTTGGAAGTGGTGCCATTAACATCATGTTTCATTAGATCTCACTTCTGTTCCATGGATACCTGGAGCCCTTTCCCCCTGCTTAGACCTTGGGCCACCCATACACTTGGTTTAAAACAATTGTTGAACCCTGGCTCCTCGTCATTGTCAGGTGTATGTTCTCAGTCCAATGTGCAATAGCCTGTGTTGACTGATAACTAATTTACTTGAAGATATGTATATATCTTATTTACATCTAGAAAAGCTTGGGAGTAGACATGGGATATTCATATTTGTCTCCCAGGGGAGACAAATACGAATATCTGCTTGCTGTGTGGCACACACGGCCAATGTAGTTCACGACATACCAATCATGGAAGCAACCTGGCTGGTGTTTGCCCACCTCCCTGCACAGCTGATTACTCCAGTGAGGAAGCAAGATGACTAGTGTCCCCACTCACCTGCTGAGTGGTTGGCTGAGCAGAGAGGTACTTCATGATCAACGATGGCCATGCACACCGTGTGGCAAGCAATAAGTGGACTGGACAGTTCTAGTGGGAGGGTCCAAATGTGGACAATAGAGATGGGCACAAGATGCTTCATGTTGTTTCATCTGAAGTCATCGGTGCGGCACCACAGGTGCCACATGTTCCCTTCTCCCACCCACCCCAGACAACTCCCCCACTCATCTGTCAGTGTGCAGTGCTTTTCTCTTGCTCTTCATGTGACTGTCTAGTCGCAGCAAGATTGTCTGCTTCCCTCCTCCAGCAGCCATGCACTCAAAGGCTGTGCTGCAGGAATCCCTGCCCTGCCTCCTCATCTGAGTCGGCGGATGCCGAAGAAGGTGGAGGAGAGAAGCAAACACTCCTGCTGTGACTGGACAGTTGTGCAAAGAACAGGAGAAAAGCCGCATGGTTTGCCTTGTGAGTGGGGAGCTGGCCAGGGTGGGTGGAAGAAGGGAACGCATAGCACCACACTGACAACTGGCACAGCACAAAGTGCTTCATGTCCATCTCTAGTGGACAATCCTATTTTTAGCAGAAGAGTTATTCAGTTTCTGATTGCTGTCACCTATTTGGCTCTGAAGGGAAAATATAAGTGAATACAGTAAGTAATAGGGAAAGTTAAAAAGATATAACGTTGAGTGTAAATAACCACTAACAACACAATTTTTAAAAAAGATTATATCCTGGGCAAAGATGCTGCACCTGACTTATATTCAAATGCTACTCCTTCTATCTCTAGTAGAATAGACTAATAAAATCAAGAAAATGTACATAAAAATGAATGTATTATTCTGCAGCTGATTCAATGGTCTACTCTGTTTGGGACCAGCATTTGGATTTTGGATATTTAAAATAAAGAGAATCAAGTATATATTTAAACACTTCTTACTAAGTCTTGATCTGCTTAATTGTAGTTTATAAATAAAGTTTGTTCCAGTTTATTTATTATGTGCATGATACTGTAGCCTATCATCAACCAATCCTAAACAAATGTAACTGTATTTAGGAATCACTGTTCTTTTAATTAACAGAGCTTTTAAAATTACTTTAATTCAGAAACTGTAAACCATTTTTGCAATGTTTTAAAATAAAGTTCAATAGAAAGTTCTTCCAAACACATTTCCCCCAACAGTGGCTGGAGCTTGTCAAATCATTTCTCCTTCAGGTCTAGGAGTAAAGCAACATGGACTAATTTCTAACCTTTTATTACCAAGAAATACCAGGCAGATCAAAGGGAACTCTCTGTCTGGGGAATTTCCAGGATTGGGCTCTAAGTGTGAATATGCACCATTTAGAAAGGACATGTAAAGAGAAAACAGCAGCTGTAGTAATTGTTAATTAGATTAGTGCCTTAGCTTTGGGGGTGAGTGTTTAATTAACCCAGCAATGATCAGCTGCATGTAATTAACACTGTATTCTGTTATATTAAGGATGTGTTAATTGGATCTGATTTTCAGAGTCAACTTCTATATTCAGAGCAAGTTGGGCCCAGGTGCTAACAGAATATTGCTCCAAAAAAAAAAAAAAAAAAAAAAAGGAAGGAAAAGAAAATTAGAGCCAGAAGATATTCGTCTGCACATAGACTCCAAGGACTTTAATGTAGTTGCACTTGAAATGGAGAGAAAGAGAGGGCTATTGTTGAAAAAAGTTCCCTATTGATCTTGATTTGTAATAGGGTATTTTTAAAATTAATTTACAAGGTTTTCAAAAGTGTCTCTATTTGGCTGGGGAGAGGAGAGACAGAGAATTAACAGTTTCAGCTTATGGCTGTGATGAATCTTAAGTACAGACTGTTAACTTTTAAAAGTATTTTAAATACAGTAAAGTTAATTGTCAGTCCCTAGAGCACATTTTCCTGTTTCAAAAGATCAAATTAATTGCTCACAACAAATACCTTTTACAGTTTTGTAATACCACTAAAATCTCTACTAGGAAACAAAGTGCTGCATGTTTAACAAAGTTTTTAGACACTGTCGTTGGGAGCCAATTTTAATAATATCTTGAAAATTTGCTGTTCTTTCTATGAACACAGCCCACATTGACTGACATTAACATCTGATTTCATCAACTGATGCTGAAATACCTATGAATTGCAAGTTAAGAGTAGATTGATAATAAAACACACATCATTGTATATTGCCCAAATATACTAACTTTCAAAACAACTAAAAGACTGATTATGAAAATTATGTAGGCTCTTACTTGTATCAAGAAAAAAAACTGAAATTGGACTATGTGCTCATTAATTAAAATCCAACAATGGTTCCCTTATAGACAAACACTCTTAAATGTAAGACTGTTTTTCCTGTTTCTATGATTACTTACATATCTTACAGAAAAATCCCATATACTATATATCTGATTAGAAATTATTCCTATTATGTTCAGAAAAGCTTACTTCCTACACCTGTTTACTTAGGGAGTAATTCCTTTCTAACTCAATAGAGCTTATTTCTGAGCAGACATATCTAGGATTGCCAAATTAAAATGATGTCAGGATTGCTATTCCTTGAACAGTTGTGGGGTAGTGTGGATTATATTTAATTAATTATTTTTTGTGATTTCTGTACTGCCTTACTTATTGAAGGGTCACTACTCTGGATGGTTTACATAGAATTACAAGAATGTTAACTTCACCAACTCTCTCACTGCTATCCCACAACAAATAACAACTAAATCAAAGTAGACAAACTAAAAGGTGACATGTTACATAACACATAACTGAAACAGTGATACCTCGGTTTATGAACGCCTTGGTTTATGTAATTTTCAGTTTACAAACCAAAATCTATATAAAATAATGCCCCTGTTTACGTTTTTCTCCCCCCCCCCACTGTACGAAAGGGTTTCCCCAGGATGCATTGCACCTGGAGGTTTCTAGCGCTGCCCCTGTTCCTAGTGCAATCCACATTTCAGTTTATGAAAATTCTCCATTACATAACATCCTGGAGAACACATTAATTTCATAAACTGTGGTACATCTGTAATAATAAGCATGTGCAGTCAAATCATTTCTAACTTATGGTGAGGTTTTTGGGGATCAGCTAAGTTTTCTAGAATAGATGATGGACAAGAGAAGGCTTGCACCTCACCAAGATTGGGAAGAATATATTTGGCCACAGCATGAAGAGCTTCATCAAGAGGGCTTCAAACTATAAGAATTCAAGAACTAATACGTAGACCATTAACAGAGCTAGAAAACTGCTGTATAGTTAGGAATAATAAAAGGAAAAAAGGACTAATTTCATTAATTTATCAAGGCATTCTGGACAAAGAATATGGTAGCAGCAAAGAACCACAGTTAGCTTGGGGAACATATTTAAACAATGTACCAGAAAATATATGGGGAAAATATGGAATACTCAAACATACAAATAGGTATCAGCAAAATCTAAAGAAACTAGGTCAAAAGTAGTTCATAGGTGGTGCTTATGTCCTACCAAACTACATAAAATTAATAGAGACATACCAGAATTGTGCCGGAAAAAGCGTGGCCATAGAACACATATGATTAGAATTCTTGATTTC